AGTCCTGTCCTGGGATCGAGTCCAGCATCAGGCTCCTTGCTCAGTGTGGAGCCTGATTCTCCCTCCGGCAGCCCTCCTCCCCTGCCGGTTGTGCTCTCTTTCTCTAGAATCAATAAATAAAATCTTAAAAAAAAAAAAAAGAAAGAAACTGTCTCCTTTTCTAAGGATTTTATAGCTTTTTTCTTTACATTGAAAAACAACAATCTGGAATTTATTTTGGTGGTAAAGAATAAGGAACAATTGACCTTTTTTCTTCATATGAATGACCACCCAGTTGTACAAAATCATGTGCTGACTAATCCATATTTCCCAATGGATTTGAAATGGTGCCTTTATCATATATTAAATTCCTATGTATGCCAGAGTTTAGCTTTGTAATATCTATTCTATTGTCTATTCCTAAATCAATGCCATATATGTTAACTACCTTAGTTCTATAATACATTTAAGTACCTGGTAGGGCAAGCCCTCCATCATTACTCTTCTTTCTTATGCTTTTCTTGATATTCTATGTTTTTCTGAGATCACATGTAATCTTTTTAAGGAGTAAAATGTTGAAAGATTATAATGGAATGGATGATAAGCCCTCTTTCCTTTTAGATAGTCATACATAAAAATGCACACAGAGAAACTAATTTTATGATTTATGGACTAGAAGCTAAATATCAATCACAGTAGACTATGACCATGGGGTGTAAAGAAATGGGGTGGGGGAAGTCTTAAGAAAAGGGAATAACTATTGTGGGCAGTATCTCCAAATAGAAAGAGACATTAAGAGCAGATAACTACTAAAGAAATAGTGGGAAAAATCGGGGGCGGGGGCGGGAACCCTTGAAAGTTCAAGCTAGATTGAGGGAATTTTAATCCAGACATTAAGAGGTTAAACCTAAGATAGAGGAAAGAAAAAACAAACAAACAAAAAAAAAAATAGGGGTGGGAGTTGCTGGAGTGAGAAATTAGCCATCCAGCCTGTAAGTGCAACAGAGAGACTGAGTCCAAATCTCAACAATGTATTAAACTAAGGTCAACTAAAGTATTGAATCCTGAGACTATCCCTATTTTTCTATTTCACACCCAATCTTTCATCACCAAACTGAAACAATTTTTCTACCCCCCACTTATGTGCTGTCTTAGGGTCACTGACAGCAAATTTTGTTTAATCATATATAAAGGAATCAGGAGCACCACTTAAAGTGTGCCTATGAAGATGGTCAGCCCTTCATACCTAGCTGTCACCTGTCTTGGTCATGGTGGCGTGGCCGGAGGGGCTGCTGTGGCAACCTCTGTTGTCAAAATCTTCCAGAGATGTGCATCTGGGGGCCCAAGGCAGAGTCCCCACAGGTTGAGGCCACAGGATGTCCCCTTAGATATTGCCAGATGCACTGGTTGCTGGGTACTCTGTCTGCAGGCAAAGCAGTTACCATGACAACCAACGCCCCCACCCCCACGTCTGCCATTTTTTTTTTCATTTCTCCTTTCCCATTAAATACCAAGGTATTCCAGGGACAGGAAAGCATAGCTCTCCGGATAGAATGTCCTCTGCTCCAGGAAGAGGGGCAGAGAAGTAGGCAGTGGCGATGTGTACATGTTATGTCTGAAGGCGCCTTCATCAGTATAAATGTATATGTACCTGCTTTCTGGGTTAAAATGTATGTCTTTGGTTGTATATCCATGAAACAAATTGTCAGATCACTGTTTAACCACACATTCGCTTTCCTGCTTCCCTCCCCTCTCTGTTGCTCCAGTGCTGGGAGAGTCACTCCAGTAGTCCTTTGCCAGGGGAAGTGCTGAGTCATGGCTCCAGCTGGGTTTCTGTATCCTGTTCTCCATCTCCATTCTTTCCTCAGTCGACCCCCTCACCCAGGCTGGGCTCTTTCTAGAGCTCTAAGCCCTCTTCACCACTACCCTCCTCAGCCTGGACTCACTTTCCTGAGGTTCACTTCTGGGCAGTAAAGAGAAGACACCTTACTCTGTTTCTGCACTTTCTCCTTTCTCACCTTGCCTTCTGAGAAGACTGAGCCTTTCTCCATGTGACCACCCCTCCCTTAGAAAACAGGAGTCTGAACAGGTTTGACCCAGCAGGCTAATTCTTCCATGTATTCCTCCTCCATGCTGATCCTTCTCCAGTCCTTTACCCCCTAATCGGATTGTGGCAGTGTTCATGCTTTGGGGCATGGCAAGGAAAGTAAGATTTATTTTGACACCACGCACTGAGACTTTTTTCTCATTCTAAGTCTCCAAGTGGCAGACCACAGGTTCTTGGAGTGTGTGTGTGTGTGTGTGTGTGTGTGTGTGTGTGTGTGTGTGTAGGAAAGGGAGGATGTTGTATCTATGGATTCAGGGGCAGTACCTAATGATCCCATCAAGAGCGGGACGTTTGGGGGTCTCAGTAGGCTCTCTGGTTTCTCTTTCCCACCCACTTTAGACTCTTCTAACGCAGAAGTTCTAATAAAGGAGTCTTGCTAACTAGTTCCAAATAAGGCAGCCTAGGATTGTTTCCTCCGCTAGAGTGGGGAGAGTGGAAAGGTGGCCCCGCCCGCTCAGTCTGGTTACTATGGCGACAGCCGCGGGGTGACCCAAGTGCTCCTCCCTCCCTCCTCCCAAACCCAGAAAGATGACGGCACCGCGCTGACTGCGCCAAATTCCAGCCAATGGGTGGCTGCTCCCGCCTTCCCTTCCGCCAACTCTCCCCTTCCTTCTCCCCTCCCCCCCGGAATTCGATTCACAAATCTGGGCTGGGGATTTCCGGCTCCAGGCAGGGTGCAAGGGCGCTGGGCCGAGGCCAGGGCAGAGTCGCGGTCTGTCCTGTTAGGAGGGCAAATGGAAGCCGGCATTCTTGGGTTCTCGGGCCAGACTCCTGTAATTCACCACCAGAAGAGATCACAACCTACTTTCAAATTATTCGGAAAATCTATTTGAAGCCAAGCCTGCAACTCCTCCTGCCGCTACAAGCCCCACCCTGCCCACAGCGCGCCGGTCAGCACCACGGACAGCGTACCAGGGCCTAGTCTTCCTTCTGACTCCTCATCTTCGAGGTCTGGCTGCAACTAGGGTCAGAGACGCCAGCACTCTGCTGGAGCCAGGCCTCCTGGGCCAATGAAACTGAATGGGGGCGTTTAGCCACGTGGCTAAGAAGGCATCGGGACAGGAGTCTCAGGCTAAAGAGCTTAGTTCTCTTCTTTCAACCCCTAAGAAAGGCTCCTGTCTCCCAGGCTGCCTGTGTCCTAGCTTTCCTGGGAATAAAGGGCCAGGCCTGAACCTTAAGCAGGGATGGACTTCCCAAGGCTATTCTGGGTAGGCGTGTGACTAAAATGGTCTTGAAACTACCAAGGGGATTGGAGGAGGGGTGTGGAGCTGAGTGTGTGTGTGTCAGGTCCCACCTGAGAGTGGTGAGCACAGACTTGGTCGGGCCTCACTAGACGCTAGACAGTATATATAACAGGGAGAGATGGAGGAAGAGAAAAGCAGTAATCGTAACTAGCTAGTTCTACCTCAGTGGTCTACTTTGTAAAGGGTATAACTTTTGCTGTCTTCATTATTCAATCCCTAAATGGCCTGGGCATTAATGGAGAGCTAGGTGAGACAAGATGGATTCAGCTTTATCATCAGGCCTCAACCTTCGGCTACTTAACTCTCTGTAAAATGGAAGCCAATGTGAGGGCGGGATACGGAAAGAGTAGCAGTTCTCAAGGACCCATCCTCCCCAGTAGGCCCGTGGGGGTCCTCCTGCCCTGTGACTGTTTCACTCCTGATCCCACTCCCTCCCTCCTGGGGCCCAAAGAAAGGCCGGCGCAAAACCATCTGCAGGCGCTTCCAGCGCTTTATAGTTCTCTCCGGGACAGACGGACAGACAGACAGTGCAGCCCGCGCCGTCGGCCCACATCATTGGCACCTTGGACACGGCACCAGGCCCAACCCAGTCCCTGGTACCTTCCCGGGAAGATTCCGGTCCGGCCTCAAATCAGCACCTCAGACAGCTCCCGGCCCAACACCCACCCTCCCCCCTCCCTCTGGAAACAACCAAATAAATTAAAAGGGGAGGAACAAAAACACCTAAAGATACGGAAGAGGGGTACCCCTCCCCCAGAGTAAGAAGAGTTTCTGTCTCCTCCCGCCCTTCCGCTGAGGCGCCTTCGCCGCCGGGATGGCCTCCTAGGTTGATTTTGCTCCCAAATCTCGGCCTCCTGAAGCCGGCATCTCCCTCCCCCCCCCCCAACTCCCGGCATGCAACACGTTGGAAAAGGTAGGGACAGGAGGGGGGGGTGGGGCGAAGGACCATCCTGGTTGTTGTCTGGGCTCCTGGGGCTGCAGTTTCTCGCCGCACCGAAGTCAGTCCAAATCAAGAAATGATATTCCCTTTGGTCTGGGAAAGGGGATATGGGGTGCTCAGTAGGGGGAAGAAATGCAAGCTGACATAGGCGGGGGGGGGGGGGGGGGCGGAAGGGGGGGAAGAGGGTGACACATGTAAGGAGAAAGGAAAAGAGAACGAGAAGGGGGAGATGGGGACACGGGTGCAGAAAGAGAAAGGGGAAGGGGGGGCAATGATAGTCGGGTAGGGGGTAAGATGGAGACGGAAATACACACCCAAGGTACGGAAAATGGAAAGGCAGAGAGGGAGATGTGAAGGCAGACAGGAAAGATGAAGATACAGGAAGGAGGCGAGGAAACGGTCAAAATCGAGGGAGATGGATTTACAGACACACACGGAAAAGAAGGAGGAGACCCGGGTAGAATTGGAGAGATGGGGGCACAGGCAGACAGAACGGGTGAGGTTGGGGGTCTCCCTCCCGCGCTCATCCCCCACCCCCACCCTATGCCCAGCAAATCCAGAGCCGCAGCCTCTGGCGTCCTGGCCTCCACCTTCCCTGCGGGACAGGGGCGGCTCCTCCTCCGGCCACGGCACGGAGCGGCGGTAACAGCGGCGGCGGCTTGATGGTCCCGGGGGCTCCCAGTGCGTGTCAGGGGCTGGGGCGGGGTGCGGGCGCGGCCCTTGGGAATCCCTAGCGGTCCAGGTTCATAGTCCAGTGCTTGGCTCCGGTCGCGCAGCTGTCCCTGGCGGCCGAGGAGGAGGCGGGGGCCGCGGGCGCGCCCCCGCTGGGTGGACCCCCGGCGCCCGCGGCGGCCTCGCCCTCGTTCTTGAGGTCTTGAAAGACCTGCGTGAAGAAGTGGGGGTCTGCGTTGAGCCGCAGCATCTGGGGGCTGAGCCGCTGGATGAGGCGCAGGCAGCGTTGCCAGAAGCGCTCCTTGTCGGGCTCCACGAGGAAGGGCTTGAGCGGGTACGAGATCTCGTTGCCCATGTAGGAGTAGGCGAGGTAGAGGCAGGTGAGGAAGGCGGCCTGCAGCTCGGCGGCCGACGCCAGCTCATCCCCGCGCAGCGACTCGCGGCACAGCAGGTACACGAACACCAGGTTGGCGGGCGTAATGAAGGCCTGGTCTTGCCAGCCCTGCAGCAGCAGCGAGCGGTCCACTCCGCGGAACCAGCCCACCAGCTCGCCCGGGCTCAGCTCCTTGAGGCGGTAGCAGCGTCGGCACACAAAATCGCCCAGGCAGCGCAGCAGCTCGCCGGTGGACGCCTGCACGATGACCCGCCGCGGCGAGCCGCCAGGCACTGGCGGCGCCGCCTGAGGGGCTGGGGGTGGCGGCGGCGGCGGCTTTCCCCCGCCCGAACCCGGCGGCGGGGCGGCCGCGCTGCCCCCCGACGGCGGCTCGCAGGTGGCTGCGGCCGCCGGCACGGTGGGCACCGGCACCGCCAGTGGCTTGGTGGCGCCGCCGCCGTCTGGGGGGTCCCGGCCCTTGCGGAGAAGGTTCTCGCGGTTGCGCTGCTGGACCAGGGGGTCGGGGCCAGTGGACGCCGGCTTGGGCGTCACCTTCTTGCTGCCTTTCTTCTTCTTGGCGGACGCGGCCACCAGGCGCTTCCAGGTAAGCGCGGAGATGAGCACGGACGGCCGCTTGAGTCGGCTCTCGCCTTTGCCGCCCTTGCCTGCTAGCGGCGCCCCGTAGCCCCCCAGCGCCTCGTCCCCCGCGGGCGGCGCTTTCTTCTTCTCTTCCGGCAGCCCGCCGGGCCTCCGGCCCTTGGCCGAAGAGGCGGGGGAAAGAGACAGCACCGTGCCCATCCTGCAGAGCGGGGCCGGCGCCCGGGCCCCGGTGGGAACCGCGGGCGGCGCCGCTGTCGCCGCCGCCTCTGCTGCAGCCCCGGAGACCCGGCGGTGGGGGGCCTAGCCCCGGCCCGGGCGCGGGAACGGGCAGGGGAAGGTGTTTTCTTGGCTGCTCCGCGGCGCTTGCTCGGAGTCTGAGCTGCGCCAGCTGCAGCGTCAGCCCCACCCCTTGGACCCCGTCTTTAGCCGCGCCGCGCCCCGCCTCACGCAGCCAATCCTCTCTCGAGTTGCCCTTCTGACCGGCAGCTCCTCTGGCCAATAGGAGCTCGCATACTAATCTCAAGTCCCGCCCTACCCCCCACCCTCTGTCTCCGGTCCTTTCCCTTCACCAGAAAGGGGAAAGGGGGAGGAGGTGGCCTTGGTTCCAAGGGCCTCCTCAGGGTCAGAGCTGGGGAAAGGGGTCTGGGGGCTCCCACTCCCCCTCACATCGCCCCTTCCTCGCCCCCGCAAATCCTAAGGCCCTGGGTCAGCTTGTTTTGATGTATTGGATCACGGTGGCAGAGAAACCGTGGGAACAGTCTCTCCCCCTTTTTGGTTATGTGCTGGGGGCAGCGTGGGCAGTGAGTGCCTTCCCCAGGGCGCCCCAGGACCTGCGGGGTCGAACTGCTCTGGGCTTCTCCAATATGGCCACAGGTGGATTACCTCTTAGCTCTCCTCTCCTCCCTTCCTCCCATGCGGCCACCATGATGGGCTTGTGGAGGAGTTCAGTAGGTGTCTTCTTGCTCTATCTGTGATGGGGTCCTGGTGGGGCGCGGACCTACCTGCAGATCACAAGCCCCCTCCTTGGGGGCCTTTGCTTTGGGGGCGGTCAGACAATCAGCTAGAAGCCCCAGTCTGCCGTTTGCTGACCTGATTCTCTGTAGCTCCATGTGTGGGGGGACGCCATAGTCTCTGGTCCCTGAGTGGCTCCTCTCCTGCTCTTCTTCCCCACGAACACACCCTGATCTTACACTTGGATGAGTGATGAATGATTGGTTCCTGGAAAAGTGCTGGAAATTGGATGGGTTGGTCTCCTGAGGCTCAGAGAGAGCTTGGTCTCCTGAGGAGGCAGGACCTCCTTGGCAGAGGGAGGCACAAGAGGGTTGACCCAAACTCAAGCTTAGCCCTGGTCCATGTTGAAGTGAGTTTTCATTGTTAAATTCTTCCTGCCATTCAGGTCCCAACTGTCTGGACTCCCCACTGCCAGATACTAGGCTGGGTCCTGCCCATTTCTCTCTGTTCTCCCCTCAGCACCCACAAGGCCTTTGTCCTCTGGGCCTTACCTGCAAGTCCCGAGCCCACCTGGTTCTGGAGCTGTTCTACGAGCCTTACAGGGCAGTGTCCACCCTTCTCCAGGCTTGCTTCCCGTAGCTCCCCAACATGAAATTCTTCCAACTTTTTAAGTGGGCCTTGGAGGTGGGTATGATGGGGAGAGAAACCTGGGCTATGTATTCAGCAAAACCCTCAGAATTATCCTTGGAGTCACCTCTGTGTTCTTCGTAGACCACCAAAATGACTTCCAGAGACCACTGCTGTCAGTCTGTGTGTATGCGCATGTGTGGGTCTGGTTTTATCCATATAGGCTGTTCCAGAATTCCCTTAGGCTGCAGCTGCTGCCACCAGAGGCACCCACTTTTCTCAGCTCTCCCACAGCCCCTGCTCACTCACACCTTCCTGGAGGCTTATGGTCTGGTTGTCTCGATTCCCTATCTCTTTACCACCCTACACACGCAGACTTGTACCTCCTTCCTGACTCAGCACCCAGTGTGCCCTTCTCAGCAAGGTGTCTCCCGGTCCCTTGAGATCTGATCATTACTCCCTTCCTTGCAGCCTGAGCTAACCTATACAACCTCTCCTTCTCCCCCTAGTTGCAAAACAAACAAACAAACAAACAAACAAAAACGGTTTCCACTTTTCAGCTCCTGTAATTGGTCCCACTTCCTCCTACAAGGCCTTCTGAGTCAGCCTTTATCTGACACCCAAGGAACAGTAGGCTCACCGGTAGTTAAGGACAGGTTGCACAGAGACTGAGTTGCCCTAGCAGAAACCTGTGGGTCTGAATGGCACATGGGTCCTCCCAGCTCTAGTCCCAGGAGTCCCTCACTGACGTAAGGCCTATTACTGGTGTCATGTAAGATAAGATCTTCTATCTGTACAACACCCACAGATGTGACCACCATGATACCCCCACTCCAGGCTCAGTTGTGACCTTCTAGTGTTCCCTGGGTCAGAACAAAGAATTCTTTTTCCTGCTTCAGGATCCCCAAAACAGGTGCCTTAAAAGGTCTTACTCCCCTTCTCATTCTTCATCTCGTCCCACATCAGAGCTTCTCTCTGGTTCACATTTTCCACCCTTCTACCTCGGTTATCTTTCTTGAATCTCTGAGCTCCTACCACTGGGCCAGAACCTTTCCTCAAACCACTACCTTGCCTTCTTCCATCCAACTCTTGAAAATCCACCTCCTCCAAGAAGCCTATTTGGACTGATGGCAAGGGACCTAGTGCTCTTCCCGACATCAGTCTTTCTAATCTCTTTCCCCAACAACAGCTGCTGTATGACAACTTGTTCACGGGCTGGGCTGAGTCCTGAGTCAAAGATGTGCGAAATGAATATGGATGGAATTTTTAAAGGAAGCAGACAAAATAGTCAAAACAGATCCATAAAAAAAAATAACAACATTTCTGTTATTAAAAAAGAACACAAACATTAGTGGAGTGGAGAGGGGGATTATATTTCTACAGGCTGGAGGCCAAGGGAAATAAGCATAGTGAAACCAGAAAGACTCCAGGGAGAAGGTAGGCTTTACAGAAGGGCAGCACCTCCCCACCCCATTGCAGGTGTACTTTTCCAGTCGGGTTATGCTTATGTCTATATTCTGTGATTGATTCATTTATCTGTATTAGGATCTGTATGTCACTTCTCATCCATCCATTTCTTTTTTTTTTTTTTTTAAGATTTTATTTATTTGACACACAGAGAGACACACTGAGAGCAGGAATACAAGCAGGGAGAGTGCGAGAGGGAAAGCAGACTTCCCACCGAGTAGGGAGCCTGATGTGGGGCTCGATACCAGGACCCTGGGATCATGACCTAAGCTGAAGGCAGATGCTAAACAGCTGAGCCATCCAGGCACCCCTCATCCGTCCATTTCTTATGGATGTGTGTGCTTCTCTGGGCCAGGGCTGGCTGTATCAGACTCCCCTTAGCTGAGACTTCCCCGCACCCCACCGAGGCCAGGCTCCTTGTCTGTCTCCATCACTCAGTAGATTACCTAGAACAGTGCCCTGTCCAGATAGATGGTTATTCCTGAAGGCCCTTTAAGGCAAGAACTATAGGCGTAGGTCAAGAATTGGAAGGCTTGGATCAGGGTATTAGCCTGTGTAGGAACGCAGCCTTATCATTGACGATTACCACCAACTCCACCTTAGAAATGAGCCCTTCGCTGACCCATCCTGGGAAAATGAACCCCATCTTTTAGGGAACATCTCCAGGTAACGCTGCTCAGACTCCTCTGCCCTTTGGCTATCTCCTTCTCCGAGAGGCCAATAGTCTAGGAAGCAGGAGGTAGGGGTTCCAGTCATTTCAGCTCTCTGGGCCTCCTTTTCTTCATATTAAGATGCAGGGATTCTATATATGTTACTTTTATTATTGGACAACATGAATATTAAAGACATCAGATAACATCTTGGGGATTGGACTTTAGAAAAAAAAAAAAGGATTCCTAAAGCCTCTTCCAATTCTACAATTCTGACTCTAAATAAAACCCATCCTATGAATCTGTTTCATTTTCTAGCTCCAGCCCTGTGTGGTTCTCCCTAGTCTGTTTCTGCCTGATGGGCTCAGGTTTGTTTGTGCACGGCATCCCTGAGGCCTGCCCTTCTGCGGTTTAGCCCGGGAGAGGAAGGGGAGCCTGCTCAGGCTCACAGTCGTGCAAATCTCCCTAGGTCCCTCCAGGCTTTAGTGAGGCCCCTGTAAAGTTTGGAGACAAAAGACAGGATGCCAAGGTGGTCCAGGGTCTCCCCAGTAGACATTAAGGCTGGAGGCCCCACAACCTACAGTCATTGCATCCTATGTCCCCAAGGGACCCCTACACAGAGGCTGATGACAAGGAAGGTTCTTAGAACAGCCAGCGTGGAGACTCAGCCTAGACATCTGAATGCTTGGGTCCTGCTGCCTGCACCCCTTCCCTGAGCCAGGAACCCCACCTCAGGGTCTCAGCTACTGAGGTGTGCAAAGGGGGAGGATATGCACCTGCCCGGCCTTCCTTCCCTCTCCCAAAGACCTTAGAACAGAAGAGCTGGGGTGGAGGGGAGCAAGGCCCCAAGAGACAGTGGAGGGAAAACTCTTCCCCAGGCAACAGTGGCGAGTGGGGAAGGGGGATGAGCAGAGAGAAGAGATGAACCTGACAAAGGAGATACTGCCCACGGTCAGAAGAAGCAGAGATACTGCCCCACGTTCTCCCATCCTTCCCATTCCAGCAGGCTCCTTGCCAGAAGGACTTAGCCTAGGAGGCCAAACGGAGATTTCTTAGAACAGAGAAGGGAGTGGAAAGCACAGATGAGGAAGAAGTGCCCTGGGGCAGGGAGAGGCGGAATGATGCTGAGATGCTGGATTAGGGGTTGGGGGAAGATGAGGGTGAGCTGGGGGTTCCTTTTGCTTGCCGTAGGCTCTGCCTCCTTCCTTAATACAGCCTTGGTCTCCCTTTCAGGTTAGCAGTATCCGCTCCCCTCATCCTTACCCCTGGATCTTCTCTCCCCAGTTCCCCCGCTCCTCCTTCACCTCCGTGGTCTCTGCCTGAGCCCAGCTTTCTCCTTCCAATCCTTCCAGCTCCCTTCAGGAGCTTTATTTCTTAGTCCATTTTGTCCTGCCCCCACCAAGCCCTTTTCCCCCTCCTCCCTTTCGTGCCCACCGCAAACATCACCCCCCCACTCTGTCTCCTCCCTGCCCCTGCTGGCACCCAGCATAGCACTCCAGATGT